AATAATTTCTTCATATGAGGTTAAAAGTGCACGGGCATATTCAACGAAAGCTTGAGCTAATGAAACCGTTCGGCAAGACGGAATTCATTAGGCAGAGATCTCGCGGTGGGCACGAACAGTTGTGACACGAAACATACTCACCCAGGTACACGGAGGAACTGTCCTTCTCGACGTGGTTGTCGATGTAGGCAGTGCCGAGGGTGAGTAACGGTGATCCGCCGACACCCAGCAATATCTGGGCAAGCGACAGGATGAACACGTAGTTGCCGATCGGGATGCTGGTGACGGGTGAACACGTGTCGTTGACGAACGTGTCGTTCAGTTTGCACAGTTCCGGCTTTTGCACGAATGGCGTGATCTTGAACGTCGACAAGAACACTTCTTTGGTAATGTTCAGGAACGAGGCGGCGTACGGCGTGGCGATGAAATGGGGCAGCGAGAACAGGAACGAGCCGAAGCTTAGCACTAAGCCGCCGAAGCCGATCCACCGTGGAATATGGCCGCGGGAACCGAAGTAGCTGACGAATACCACGGACAGCAACGTGCCAAACTCGTAAGAACTGATTATGAAGCCGGCCGTCTTGCTAGCGATGTTGAAGCGCTTCTCGATCGTCGTCAACACCGACATGCTGTACCCGGTGGCCAGCGTGCCGTGCACGGTGATCAGGATGCAGATGATGAATACGAATGCTTTGACCGAGCGCCACGCCGGGAACACCTTGTCCTTCAGCTGCTTCAGCGACAGGTATGAGTTCGAGTTGTTCATCTCGAAACTGTCCTTGCGCAGACCGATTGGGGGAATGTCGCAACGACTGACAATGCCTTCCGAATGGTCTTGACAAAGCTCCATCGAAATGTCGCCCCATACTGCCGTATCGTCGCTCGTCAGCAAGTATTGACTGGGCGACTTCGAGTAGCTCGACAGAAACGGTGAACCGTTGGACATAGTTCACTAGCTGCACGTCTCCGAGTAATACGTTCTACATGAAAAACCCAACGAACATTTTACATCGCTAATAAATCTGGCCACGGAAAGAACAAAATTTCATAACGTCCTTTCACTAAATCAGCCATTCTCTTCACTCTAAATGCTTAATTAAACGAGGATTAGAAACAGACAGCTAAACTGTTTGGCGATAAATATAAATAAATAGCAATATTACAGAATGAAAAACAACGAAAAAAACTTTACTTCGTCAAGCAGTGCCGTAAACAGAAAATACTTCTAGCAAAACTGTCGTCACTCTACATTCAACAGACATACACAAATACATATAAACAAATATATACAAACAGCCAGTAACAGTCATGTCGATCTGCTTCGAGAAACATTAAAACAACTAAAAAATCTTACAAATAACACAAAAACAAGAAAAATCATACAGAATAATGCACAAGTAGATATCACAAGCAATTAACATCTGCAATGTATATAAAGTTACAAGAGTACGGGCGTCAACCTGCCATAATTTTACGAAACATTTCTGATTTGAGTTGTGCTCAAAGCAGCCTATCGTTGTAGGCAGATAGGTTCAAAGAACGTAGATTGTCGTTTTTGGCCGAGATGGTCATCCTTTCAGTGATCATAGCCAGTTTAGCCTGTCATCCGTGGTTGTGAACCAGCTTCAAAGGTCAAAGATGCTTGCATTTTGGAGAAAAATGATTTAGGTTCTATCGTGAAGCTTATTAATAAAACACTGAATCCGTCAGAGAAGGAAGACGAGGCATCGTCTATCTGTACATGTTTGCTGTCTTTGTCATATTGAAATGCAATTTTACAGTTGTACGTTTCAATTCGTGCAGATACGATGAAGCAAACTTTCAACGCTGGGGGCCTCAGCCTGGGTTAACTATCCACTATTCACTACACATGCACATTCTACAGAACAACTTACCTTTACGAATTAGTCATACTAACAATACGACAGTTATTACTAGTACCACTGAAATATGCTACAGTACTATTATAGCAGTAGATAGAATAGTGCAATTACTGTAATAATTCTTGCAATATTACGAGCATTACTGGTAGACGTAGTAGCTTTGTTAGAGTTCAGCACTGAAAATGAAAGTACGCTGACATTCTTTGAAGTTCCTAGGACTATCACGTAAATCAACTTTCCAGCGGTCTTCCAAAGTGAAAGTCGTGCAAGAAACTTTTTCCTAGAAATAGTAGCCTTTGCGTACTCATTATGCCGGATTTGTACGTCAAACATGGCATCACTTCTACCGAGGAAGATGAACAAATGTGAACTCCAACGTACTTCGTCGAGGTCGAATTCCATGCCTGCATCGCGGCAGTCGATATTTCCTTGCTCAAGCGTTAGCTTAATCCGTTGAATTTAGCAGCATTAAGCATCTGACCATAATCATGGCTACTAGATTTACAGAATAACAAGTGCCCAGACAAAAAGTCAAGCTGCAAAAAAACGCGTCTGCCAAAATGCGAACACAAGATTGTTGGAAAAGTATGCTTTCAGTAATACGACATCGCCTACAATCAGGACTTGTACGCGAATGTACTCATGCGAAACCAAGAACAACAACTGCAAAAATGTCACTCTCCATTCAGAAACATGCAGATAGGAATGTGTCAACGCTCTAGCAATGTTATTGTACTGAATTTCAAAGGTCGGGACGATCAAAACAGTGAAAACGATTTGAATTTCCTTCTACCTCTTGATATCATCTAAGAAGCACTGTGGGATCGCCTGTTCGCCCTGCAAACGGATGATTATCCTAAGTTCAAAAAGCAGAAGGTTGTTACGAAAAATATTGTCATGCTTCATACTGGGATTAAGACTGATGACTGCCGAAATCCTACTGCTAGAGTTTGCAGCTAGCGTGTCTTATTTCTACTGCATTAAAGGGCACAAAGTCAGCTAAGCTCGGTCACTAGAACTTCTTGCAGTTTATGAAAAATGTTCACTAATCAGACAGAGGTGGAGAGTATCTGAGACGTCAGAACAACCAATAAGTCCCAAAAACGATATTCGATGGGTGACGGATCGATCCAACAGCACGAACAACATAAGATTAGCTGAAAATGAAGCCGTTACATGGCTTTTCTCTCCCCATTTGAGAATGAAGTCAAAGGTCAATTCCTCAATGTACGCTTTCTGCATGCAATTCGCTGGCTACATGAGG